AATCATATGCGGCATTTTCCAGTCTTTGCAGTTTTTTTCCAAATTTGTCTGCTAAGGCACCTGCGAACATAATCTTTTATTGCTCTGATTTGCTGGAAGGCATTATTTGTCAAGGTATTCAGTTTTGAAATCCATATTGTGTTTGGTTGTCATGATTTTCATAAATTTGTCCAAGACATTGTTGACAGAAAATCTGTTTTTGCAGACAAGTAAAAGCTTTGCATGGATTTGTTGGTGATTCCTATCATCTGTCTTGTAGTGCTTGATCCAAATTAATGAGTAGCATTTGGTTTCAAGAGAGTTCTTACATTTCCCTAACACGAGGAATTGCTTTCCTGTAAAATCAGTCGCTTGCTACATGTATTTTGTAGGTACTGCCACCTTTCACCAAACCAACCTCTTCCAGCAGCCAAAGAATTGTCGTGATGCATTAGGGCTGTATAAAAATGGTGCTGGTGGCTTTGTTAAAATATTTTGCTTTCATCATTTTCGCAGGTGTAGGCGCAGCTTCACTTAACGTGGCGTCGAACTATAAGGAGCCAGAGACCGGTGTTGTCCACCCCATTGACCAGCTAGTGGACTTTGCGGGGATAGACAGCGACCTTCTGTGCAATGAGTACTTGGCACACGGCACAGGTCAAATCAAACAGCTTTCCTTCGTCTGGATCAACTTGCAGATCACTTTCTAGCGATTGCAATGAAAGTGAACAACATATTCTTTTTCAATGTTAACACAGTAAATACCACTAACGATAAATTTGCTACAATCAGCCAATGTTGTCTTCGCGATTATTGGAGGTGGACTCCGTCTTGTTCAAGGATGCTGTGCGGGAAATTCTCACGTGCCCATATGCTGGTGCCAGTTATTCACTGGATCTGTAAAATGACAGGAACTGTAGTTAATTGCAATTGCGTCGATGTAATGACAAGTACAGTTATCCAATCTACTGGGCAGCAGAAGTTCCTGTGCTTTCCATCTGTTGAAAGTGGTAGGAATTTGTAGAGCGCATCCAAGTGCCCCTTCAGTGTGAGGCACTCGCTACTGTGTTTTGTGCTACTCCCACATCTGGAGGCTCTCGTATTAGGAAATGGCATTTAAGCCCAGTGGCTGTATTTTAGGTTTACTTACTACGCAAAGTGAAGCTAGCTGCCACATTCTGCACCACAATATTTCGCAATAATGCCCTGACGAATGGACTTGAGGAGATGATTGCCTTTTGAATGGCCAGTAATAAATATCATGCAGTTAGGCAAATGTAAGAATATAAAGACACACAGAAGCAAATGCTCACTACATTGCAATGTGTAGTGAAGACAGATTCGTTTTTCATCAACAACGGCTTTTTTGCACTTAAAGGCATACATGCTTTTTAATAATTATAGAAATTCTCGTTAGAATGAGGAGGAATTTATACTACTGGCCCAATCTGTCAAATTTATTTTAGAGCATTAACGTATGGACTTTAGATTGGTTGCAAAAAAGCACCCCCTAGTAGAAGGAAGACATCTTAATTCGAATATTTTGGCATGAACACAAACCGTTAAGAGAACTACTTCGTTTAAAAGACAACGAAATTCACCCTTCTCTGGATTTTACGTAATGCTTAAAAAGGGGTGATTAAAATTAACAGACGTAGTCCAGTATATTTTAAATGCGCAGTATTTTGGATAGTGTATGTAGGTCAAGACAAAAAAATCAAGACAAACTGACTAAGCATCGCTAAATTATTATTTGCAAGTGGCTGCTTTTTTGATATTATTACCACTAAATTTTTACTCTGTTGCATGCTGAATGATGTTGTCACACGTTTATTGTAGCAAAGTCTAAATTATCAGTTATTCTCTGTCAATTGATAACTTCATTGTAATATGGGTAAAATCGGATATAAAAAATTCATACGAAATGTAGTAATTTTTTTCTATATTTTGGTGCATTTACTTGTTGTTAAGCAAACGCTAGTTGGAAGCATTTATGTAATGTTTACATGAATTCCGGCGTAGCTAAGAGAAATAAGGATATGTAGATGTCTCTAAACGTTTCTGCATTAGTTAGGTGACGATGCTTGCGGCATACTTTCCTTAAGGCACAGGGTGGCTGCAAACCACACTTTCACATAACGCCATGTTTTTGCAACTGTGTAAATGGAGTGGCCTGTGTTCTATCGAGTTTCCAAACAGGGTATTGAGGAAATGAACATTAGAAAGCTAGGTCTTTGATGCTGGTGCGCTCCGCCTCACTCAATTCTATATTCTTACCCTCTACTCTATTGCTAAATAAAATACCGCTAGAATGGTGGCCCTAATAACATGGTGAGAAGCTCACAAGGACATTGGATCCCGTTACTAATTTGTCACCTTCTGCATCAATTCTTTCTTTTGTGGAAACGGGGGAAGAAGTCTCTGTCAAAAGTTTGTTTTTCCTGAGCGATGACAAGTTGAGTCAACGTGTCGCAGCATTGGTCAATGTCGGTATCATAGGTGATTACGGCGTCGACTGCGGCCAAAAATAAATCATGGG